AAAAAAAAAAAAAAAAAAAAAAAAAAAAAAAAGAGCCAAAAACCATAGAACTACTGTAACTACTGTATCTTCTAAGACAAAGAACCCAAAAACCTAATATTTCTAGATGATAAAAAAGTAAACCAGCAAATTTTCCAGTATCTCACATCATACAAGTATCGCTTGAGCCTTTTATTGTGTAAAGAAAGTAAACATACTACATTAAATATAATATTAATGCATCAGTAAATGGATTTACCAACTCAATTCCAACACTGATGCCTTCACGGGTGGGTAGGTTGCCGATCCAGCGGACGATCCCATAAGAGTTCCCCTTCGCTAAAGTCACCTCCACCGCAGAATTTAGACTCATGCTTTGATCAGTGTGTGTTTCAACTTTTGGAGCATCAATATCCATGCTTTCAGGCCCTACAGTGCAAAGAAAGTGTCTGAATCAGTTTGAATAAAAACAGAGAAAACAGCTATAGACAAGTAACTTTCTACTGATACCTGAAGGTATTTCTCCTTTAGTGACATCGTGGAGCGGGACTTTAATTTCTACCCCTCTTCTTCCATTCTCCTTTAGGTCCTAAAAGACAAATAGAAAACATCATGTGAATAACTTTAGTCCGTGTTTAAGAAGAAGCAGGTTTAACTTAAGGTATGTGGCAATTTTAAGCAGAGCATTTTAGGCTATCTGGAGTAGTAAACTCATAAAGATAATATAAAAAAAACTAAAACCATTTATTGTGTCAAATTAGTCCCCTAATAAAAAGAAGAGGGTGCCCCATCTATTTTAACTATACAAAACTAACATATTCAATGTATATACATAGAAAAATATGTCAATTTGATCCCTTGGTATTGATAGCTTCAAAGTCAATTGTTTGAATTCAAATTCAACCTATTAATAAACACTGTTGTTAAGTTAAGATTATTGTGGAGAATCGAAAACAATCCATTTGATTGCATTACATCCCAGGCTTTGCAGAATTATCTCCCCCTAAACAGCAGAACCTGGCACAAGGTAAACTGTAATCTCCCACCAGCTCCCTCTTAAGCTCAGCCATTTGCCTCGAGTAGACGTTTGTGGTCAACAAGGCAGCACTGGGACAAAATGGCAAAGAGCAAAAAGCAGAATATCGGGTCCCTTTGACCAAACCAAACCAGCTGCACAAGCCAGGCCTGGGAACCAATAATATATATATATTTTAATTCCTTTTATTTCTTTTACTTTGAATTAGAAAACGCATCTCTTTTTAATGTTACTAGGTTTGATGTCTCCTGGAAATATCTCTTGTGTTTGTTGTTCATAATGGAGGTCAGACTTGGAGGGAGAATGAAGGGTGGGAGCCAAAGGTTTAACTCTGCAAAAAGGGGCAAAAATGCCACAGTTCTTCTCACACGAGAATCTCTTCTGAAATCCATAGGTCCCATCGGTATTTCCCTTCCCTCTGTCTTCTCCCTTTAGATCAAAGATTAGCAAAAAAAAACATTGATGACACAAATACCTCACATCACTACTTGCACAATATTCTTAACATAAAGATACTTAAAAGTTATCCAATTGTGAGTTCTTCAAGAGTTTCTTGGTACTCAGGCCTCAGAAAGATGCAGGTAACCTTTTTTTTTAACAGTAAAACTGGAGCAGAAATCATACTAACATGTTTCCTTTTAGTGCCATGGAACGTGTTTATAGCACATAGGAAACTAATAGCAAAATATATATAATCAGAAACCTAAATCAGGTCTAATGCAAAAAAAAAATACAATCTCAGAGGAGCAACAAGTTACACTGCCACTGCCAAAAACTAAATCTAACCATGCATTCCCTACAAAAATGAAACTATATGCACAGTGCTTCAACAGGAATGACAAGGCAAGTAATAACAAAGTACTAAAAAGTCTTAAAACAAAGATTATTTTTGTCATCCTTGTAAGAAGAGTTTTTTTTTTTTTTTTTTTTGCTTGCAGCTCTTATCATACAGCTGATTGTTGAAATCCTGCCAAGACTGAAAGACAACAGTAAAGGGTAAAACATTGCTTTCATCCATTAACCTGGGAAGGAAATTATTTGATTTCCTATAAACCTACCAGGATGATTAACAGAAGTCTGGGTAGCTCGTTTGGGCTTGTTTTGCAGCCACATAAACAATTAATAGAAGTTTTTGTTGACAACGTGGATTTTACAGGAAAACAAATCAAGCGGGTGTTCTTATTCATTACCTGCCTGCCCATACCCACCTTAATTATTGGCTTATGTATTAATGTTACACTGTTACCGATACCAGTATCGGGCAGGGCCTCGATCCAGCACTAAAATGGTGGTATCGGTACCATCAATACCATTTTTAGAGCCAAAGTTTATTCTACTATTGTCACCCATTCCAGGTGGGCAATAAAAAGTTCTACTGGATTCACTTTGTATTAGTCTTTGTCCTGCTTCACAAAGGTAGGCAGCATCTGATAATTTTTTTAAAAGGTTACTTTATACTTTAAGTAGTTTTTGGAGCACATACTTTTTCACTTTTACTTGAGTAAAGAGGTCAAGTTGATACTTCAACTTTTACCAGAGTGTTTTTAAACTGCAGTATCTATACTTGAACTGAAGTAACAAATGTGTGTACTTTTGACACCACTGGAAAAGCCATTTGGAGCACCAGGCTACACGTGATGCAAATTAGCCATTGAGCTGTGACAGTCTGGGTTGCTGCTGCGAGCCACTTTTAGACACAGCAGGCAAACCTGCTGTGGGAAAAAAGGAGAAGATGATGAGAAAAAGAAGCAGAGAAAGTGTGGACTGATGGAAGAACTGCGGTGAACTGGTGACAGTAATGTGAAATGGTGTGCTCAGAGATGACCCTGCACAATTTGAATATGTTTGAACCTGCTGATGTGAAGCAGGATTCTCCACCATGAACATAATAAAAAAAAAAAATATCAATCAAGGCTCAAAATGAGCACCTTGATTTGTGCTTGAGAATGGCTTTATAGCCATTCAAACCCAGGTTTATAAAATTTGCAAAGCAGCGTAAAGCCCATTGCTCTCATTAAGCCATAAAAAAGAAAGCAAAAAAAAAAAGTGAGTCAGGAAAGGGTTGATATACCAAACTGAAAGATGTGTGTACTTTTGACAGCACTGCTCATTTTTACCTGTAGTTCAATTCCAAAGTATCTTCCTGTTATAGGGTGCAGATAGCTTGGGTCTACAATGGGTCCAATGTAGCGAATGATGCCTCTCAATATCTGTCCATCTTCTTCAACCATCACATCTGTTCCCATGGTGAGTTCCAGGGCTGCCAGAACAGCAGCTCCGTCTCTGATCCAGTTTAGCCTCTCAGACTCAGGCTGGCAGGCCAACAGGAGGTCAGCCTCATCAGCATCGAGTTTCTTTAAGCATTTTATCTCAATATTACAAGTCACACCGGTTCTCGAGCTTAAACACACTACTGGTAACTTTGTGGGAGGACTGCGCCTGGATGTTTCCAAAGTATAATTGAACTCCCGTATGTACCATAAACTCCCAAGCTTGACGTTGTAGTAGAATTGAGGTTTTTCAGTTAGGATGAAATAAACATTTTCTGAAGAGCTCATGTTGTCCAGCCCTGGAGATATAGCAGAGCTCTGCACAAAGACACAAAACAATGACAAGTTTAGTTTAGGGTTAATTATTTACTTGGCAACACTGCAGCTAGGTCGTTAGCAAATTGCAAAGTGTAATACGACACTGGAATACTAGTGTCATAAAATAAATAAACCTAAAATTAACTGAACTTTTTAAAGAGTTTATGACTAATGGATATGTTTGTAGACTTACCGAGTCTGCTTTAGGGTTTAATCTCTGCTGTTTCGAAGCTGTTTTCGCTAAACGTCCGAGCAGCTGCCTGAAGTTTCACTTCCCCTTTCATTTCATTTCGCTTTCACCCCGCAGCAGTTTTTACGGTGCTCCGACAGACGCGACAAAACGCGGAAACGCAATTTAAATCTTCTAAATATGTATATGAACACCTAGGACTTTGTCCTCTAGCGCCGTTTTCTGTTAAAATGCGTTAAACTCGGAGTAATGTCAGTGACACAGATGTTTTTAAATCTGTTGACAGGTACGAACGCTTATCCTGAGAGGCAGAGGGGAATTACAGCCCTCGGTAATGTCTTGAAGGCAGGCTGTGGGGACTTTCTTCGTTTTTGCTTTATCGTCCACATTTCCGCATTAGACTATCTATATTTGAGATCGAGTTGAATATCTTCATCAGACTTTATGTTAAATATTATTTTTATGTAGGTTATCTTTCCCAGTGCTTAAGTCACAGGCGTAACTTTCTGAAGCACTGATGTGGACATGACTCACCAATAATTCCAATAGACTTTGGCTCTCAGAAATATGTGGGGCAAATTTCTAAATTTGATTTTTGCTGCTTTTGAAGGAGGATAATCACTGATGTAGCTGAAAGGGAAAATCATCAATCAATCCACATTTTTCTGGACGGATTGATGGATATGGAGGACCAACTCTGCCATATTTAAAAATAAATACAGAAATAAATAAATGCCCAATAAATAAATAAGAGTATAATTAATTGCCCCTCAAAATACAATAAACAAACAAATGTAAGTAGCAATGAAATTATACAGTGAGACATAAATGTATATATCTTTATTTGACTTTGTAATAATTACCTTACTTATTTATTGACCATTTTTATCTTCAACTTTATGTATTTATTACTTATTTTTTAAGTATTTATTTATGTGCATGTAATAACATTTTTGTCTGTTTTAATCTTCCTTTGTATTTTTTTTTTATTTCTGTATGCATTTCTGCCTCAGTATGCAAATGAGGAAGGGGTGTGTTTAACAAAAGTTCTAAGTTGTTGAAAGAAATGTCTGCTGATCTTATGAAAACTTAAATCGAGAGAGCAAAAAATCTGCAAGTGGGCTATGCCTGCAAGTCAAGAGCGAGGGTTATAGTGCGGCATCTTTTAGCTGTGATTGGTCAGAATATTGCACGTGACTCAAGAGGATATGACGTAGCGGTGCATTGGACGTAAACATGGAGGAGAGAGAGGCACTGAAAAGGCAGATTGAACTTTTACAAGGTTTCTTTCTGTTTTTTGATCATTTTATAATGTTTTCTGTGACACCAGCAAGGGAGGAAACCTTCCTGCTGTTGTTTGCTTTGTTTACATCAGACGTCTGTAGTGCTGTGCAGCTTCTTTTCACACCGTTTAGATGGAAACGTTAACCGTTGGTTTTATGCTTAGATTAGCTTCAAGGACTTTAATGCCTTTGATGTGCGAAGATAGATGTTTATTTGGCTTGTCAAATATTTTGTTACTTTCGAGGCAAAGAGTTGTGTTGTATCGATAATTTTTATTGTTCTGTGTACTTGAATGCGTTTGAGAGAATCAAATTAGATGATAAATTAATTTATCAAAATTAAAACAACCATTGTTTCCCCTTAGTTGCATTAGAGTTTGTTTAATTTTATATCAACTATTTAATGTTGGTTAAATAGTCTTCTTAAATCTTCTTAAATAGATAGTCTTCTTTGATGGAATGAAAAAAAAAACAGTAGTGAAACCTGTCAGTCATCCAAGACATCCAGCAAAAAAAAAAAAAAAAAAAAAACTGCACTTCGATGCTTTTAAACCTCAAGCAATCTTCATTTTAGAAGGAAAAAAGGAACGAAACATCTAAGAACATGAGAATCAAAGTGTATTGTTTTTTTTAAAAACCTAAACAAATAAGATACTTTCATTCTAGAAAATGACAAAACTAACCTAAAGTATTTGGAGATAATAAAGATTATGTTTGCTTCCCAGGGGGTACAATGGCTTTATATCTTTAACCAACATTAAAGTGGGAGAAATGACAGGATATTCATTCCATATTGTTAGGATAATTAACCTTAAATGAATGAGAAATCTCTTAAAAAGTTAGATTTGAAAAGTTTGTTCTTTGTTACCACAGACGAAACCATCAGGATTATCTTAAACAATGATAGTAATCACCTTTTTTGTTACTGCAGTTGTAAATTGCAATGAAAGATGTCCTCCCAAAGGGGAATTATGGGGTGTTGCTCCGGGAGAGTTTCAATGCATCAAACCGGTAAGGACTAGCAGAGCTGGGTCAGGAGTCTTGAGAAAGTGTGCTATCCTTATGGAAGGAGGTAGGAGGGAGCTTGTATGCTTCCTATAATAGCTCCTCTATAGCATAGGGAGCTCGCTATGTCCTTCACTGGAGCTAGAGAGCTGTAAGTACTTCCACAATGCTTTGCATGACAGCAGGTATGGGACCGCCCACCTTACAGATGTTAAAGGTATAGTGGAGGATGTCCTTTTTCCAGGTGGATCGTCTAATTAAGTGGTCCTCCTCATTGTCAAACATTCTGGTGATATGTTTACGTAAGGTCGTCCTACATGCTCATCTCCATTTTCACTTACCGGTGATGAGTCTGACATAGTGGAAAAATTGAGAGTAAGATTTTGAGAGTAAGATTGTATGAGCGATGCAAACAGCAAATTTTAAACAGAGCGTGCACGAGGAGAAATGGGCTAGTGCACGCCTTTTCACGTGATTAATAGGCCTTCCCTCTAGGGAATAGGTTCAAGGTTGTGTGTGTGCATTTTCTTTTATGGGGAGAGGGCAGGCCTTTTTATAAATTCATTAAGATCCTCCACAATACCTTTAACAAAATAAATTTGTATGACATACTCATATACACACCTTCATATGCTTTGCTTTGTGTAATGGAGAGCTCCAACAGTTCTCTACATTTGTTTAAGCTCTGTTTTTTTATGGAAGACTAGTATCAGATTAGTGTAGCACCATCATATGCGTTTTCAGCATATGATGACATCTGGGAGGCTTAAGGGTTCGAATTTGGCACTGCAGTCTAGACGTCCTTTCCTACCCACTATAGAGTTGCTACTGTTGACCCTATAAAAGGTGAAAGAATTGAAACTAGGAGCTAGAATTCAATGAATTTTGATAAAGCCACAGATTAACTGTCTGAGGTTTGAATTGACAATCTTGTGGCCTCTCCAGGAAGCAAAACCCCTGTTTATACGGGCCTGTAATTGATTGTGTGGAGCCATAATGTCAAAGATACCTGACACATATCCCCCCTAGTCCTCTCATAAATGGATGGTTCCACTAACTGTGTGCATTTTAAATCTCAAAACCCAACTTCAAATTCAGAGGATTTTGCATCCCAGCCTGGGTATGTTAAAGCTTAAGAAGGACCTGTTCAGATTTCAGGTTTGGAAAAAACTATTTAAAATCCAAGATATAAACTTAATGGGTGGGAAAAAAAATCCCAAATATTTGTGTAAGTTTTTCCTCTGTTTTATGATTTATTGTATGTCTCTTAAGTCATTTTAAATAAAAAAATTGTCAATTCTCAGATCTTATCAATAAGCATAAGAGCGTCCATGGAGATGAACCAATCACCGCAGCACAGCAGAGGCAACCTGAAGTTTCTACAGCAGCCATAGGCAGAAGTTTCAGCACATCTGTTTTCCAGCCTCATAGCTCCCGAGGGAAGCCCTATGCTCCTCAGAGCCGTGGAAGTTGGAAAAAAACGTACTCTCTGAGGAATAATGCCCCCCAGTCCTCCGGGCCACCTCCATCAGGGGCCCCCTCCAATCCCTTTCATCCATCAGCCTCCAAATATGGAGCTGGCAGCATCCCTGCAACAACATGCAGCAGAGAGAATCAAACCAATCTCACCAAAACTGTCACTTTATTATCAGGGAATCTCACTCAGAAGAAAGAGGGAATTGCTGGCAGGCTAATGGGGGTGAGTGGAACAGCAACAGCACCTTCAAACACTTCTTTTGAAAAGCAAGGTTCAAGTTCAGGTGGAGCCAGTATCCATCAAAATGCACCAAAGACTCAGGAAGGTCATCAAAAGGCTGAAAACAGACTTGTCATCCTGCCAGGAAAGAAAACAAGTGCTTCCTTTAATGTTTCATCTGTTGCTAAAACCAACACTTTAATAAGTTCTCAGAAAAGGATTCAGGTGCAGAACAAGCCTTCCCTGAGCAATAAAGCCAGTCTAGAAACTTGCAGGACTAAAAATTTTCAAGGTATACCAACTCAGTCCAGTGATCCCACCAGACCGGCTCTACTTTCTCCCTCTAAGGAATCAAAACTCTCATCCCAAACCCCACAAGAACAGGTTAATGCACCCTCAGTACAAAAATCTAAATTCACCTGGGTGAAGAGCCAGACTGTAGAGCTGGAGCCGAAAGCAGTCAGCTCTGTTTCTGTACCAATAAAAAAAGTTACTACTTCTCAGTTATCGGCCCTTAAAGCTTCAGTTGGGAGTCCGTTATCAGTTGCATTAAATAAGAAAACGCCTAAAAAGTTTCCTAGGAAACTCAGTCCTGTCATGATAGCACCTAAAACCTCAAAGTACAGATGGGTTTCATCCTCTGGAGTCCAACCCAAGACACAGCGCAAACCGTTGTCTCCCAAAGCCCTAACTGTTCCTCAGAAAGGCCTGGAGAGAAGAGATGCTGCCAAGAAGCTTAAACCAGCCTCCACCCCCCCTACAAGACTGAAGAAGGGAATCACAGCTTCCTCTGCCAGCTCAGCAGTTGTAAGCCGTTACCGTTGGAAGGCCGGAGGGTTAACAGCAGGGTCGCTGACAGGAACCGCAGCAGCCGGCAGCCATAGATCTGCCTTCCACTGGACGGCAGAGAAAAGCAACAAAGGGCTAAAGGTCGGACATGTTTCTCCAACTTTATCTCAAAGGGCTTACCTCCGCTCCTCCCCTGGTGGGTTCAAGCTCCGTAGCAGGATGAAAATCATCAGGAAGTCTCCCTGCAGGTACATTCACACACTAATTTAACATCTTATCATTACCAGCTGAGTTTTTCTAGATAGGCTCTCTTTTGCCAGAAGGTGGCAGCAAAGGGATTAGAAAGTCCATTTCCATAACTTAGAATTTGGAATAGTGTAGAATACAAATATCTTTAAAACACACAAGTACTGAAGAGGATTAGGGCCACTGAAAAAAAAAAAGTTAACTGATTTTTAAATTTTATTT